TTTTTTAGGGGCGCCTGGGTGGCTTAGTTGGTTAAGCGTCCGACTTTCGCTTAGGTCATGATCTCGCGGTTTGTGGGTTCGAGTCCCGCGTTGGGCTCTGTGCTGACTGCCAGCTCAGAGCCTGGAGCCTGTTTCAGAGTCTGTGTCTCCCTCTCTCTCTGACCCTCCCCTGCTCACGCTGTCTCTCTCTCTCTCTCTCCTAGAAATAAATAAAAATATAAAAGAAAAATATTTTTTAGCCTTTCAATTTCCTTAAGTCACATGACACTTGATTATAAATGAAGATCTAGTCGTAAGAATAATTTACTCACAATTTTTGCTCCTATAAAACCTGTAACTGAGAAACTCAGAATACTTAATGAGTATTCATTAAGGCTCATTTAACCCCTTTGAAGTACAGACTCATCATTATTTACTTTGGGAAGTGAGGAAACTGAGGCAAAGAGCAGCTGAGTACCTTTTCCACACACTCTTGTTAACCTAGATTAATGTCCCAGATCCCAAACTGGGGTTTTAATCCCAAGAGTTTCTTTCAGTTCATTGTTCCTTCATCTAAATGATTTAAGTAGCTGCAAGGTGAAATGTCAGAAAGTATATATATTTTTTACTCCGCCACAACGCTGTCTGTAATTTGGGCCAGATAAGTCTTTGTCATGGGCTTGGGGAGCACTGAGGGCAGGCTGCTTTTCCTGGGTATTGTAGGATGTTTACAGCATCCTTGGTCTCTACCCACCAGACGCCGCTGTCACCCCATTCCCAACTGTGACCATCAGTGCTGTCTCTCGACATTGTCAAATGTAGAGAATCCTGCACATACCTTAGCAATACCATAGACGTGTGTTAAGAAATCATGCTTTATAACAGAATGCTCTTTTATCAACACCATCTTTCTCAATACACTTCTAAAATACAGTAGTAGCTAAAGAATCCAGAGTAAGGGCCAGAAAGAACACGTGATGATCATCTAGCCTGGAGATTTTTTCAAATTTTATGATTTAATATCAGTTAATAGGGCTGTGGAGAAAAAGGCTTTCAGTGGTCAATTTAACCTGGGAAACAGTGGCTACAAAATATTTCTTCATTCATTTAACAATTATCTATTGAGCACTTACTATTTTCTGGTCACTCTCCGGGGGACTTGGAAATGTATCCATGAACGAAAGATCCCTGTTTACTTTGGAACATACTTCATATCTAAATAAATTAAGTAGTATGTTCTGCATGATAGTACTTTATAAAATGAAAACGTTGGTCAGGATAAGGGGGATCACACCTGCCAGACTGTGGGGATGGATTGTGACTTTAAATTGGGTGTTCAAATGGCTTCTCTGCTATTCAGACCAAAAATTAGGGAAAAAGCAACAAAAATGTGATATGAGAATCAACTATATGAAATCTACAATAAAAAGTATAGCATATCTAATACTATTACCTATAAATTATGTCCTATACATCTTTAAATCAGTATTATACTACACATACCTGCCTTCCCTCTGGAGAGTCTGTTGTTAAGATATTTATAATCATATCACTGCTTATATGTATGTGTAAAATATAGCAAGGCAATATGTAAATTTAAAATATGTGCCAAAGTAAAACCAAAGAAGAGGCAAAAGAATGGAGATGGGGACCTAAACAAAGCAAGACAGCTTTCTTAGGCTGCACTTCAAGATCCTGTTGTGCGTGATAGAGGGACCAGAAGCCTCATGACTACTAATCTGATTTAATCTCCACTGTTTGACCCTGTCTTCCATTCACAGTGATAGTTGTTGCGAATTCCAATTCAGCTTCCATGTTCAATCAAATCTCCTATTGTGGTAAGTACCCCACAATCACTGAGAGGAGTGTTTCTCAACTGAGGATGACTTACCCCTAAGGGACATTTGGAAATTTCTTTTTTTTTTTAATTTTTTTTTTTTTTAATGTTTCATTTTATTTCTAGGAGAGAGAGAGAGAGAGAGCGTGAGCAGGGGAGGGTCAGAGAGAGAGGGAGTCACAGACTGAAACAGGCTCCAGGCTCTGAGCTGGCAGTCAGCACAGAGCCTGACGCGGGGCCCGAACCCACGAACCGCGAGATCATGACCTAAGCGAAAGTCGGACGCTTAATCGACTAAGCCACCCAGGCGCCCCTGGAAATTTCTTGAAAGAGTTTTGATCGGAGGGGATGATGTGACTGCATCTAGTAAGCAGGGGCCAGGGATGATTCTAACCATCAATTCACAATTCACAGAACCACCCGAGCAACTATCTGATCCCAATGTCAGTGGTCTCCAAGTTGAGAAACTGTGATCTAGGGAATTAAGGAATTCTCTCTTCTTGCTAACTGACTTGAAATGATTGCCACATGGTCTCACATAGTGTGTGTCCATAAACTTCATTTCTGACTTTAGGTTGAGCAATAGGGAAAGGGAGGGATATTTAAAATGTGAAGATTTGACCCAACCCTTGTGTACATGGCCCCCACCCATCCAGAGTCTTCCAAATGTCCCTCACCGGCTCCTGCATCTGGTTATTTATGTGATTCCCAGCATACAGCTAGGTGACTTCTTACAGGGACAATTCCTAAGTGATTGACTACACCTCTTTTCTTTGTGTAGAATTTAAGCAAGTCTCAGCAATAGGAAATCTTCAAAGACGGTACTGCAAAAACCAAGCACATTCAAAACATCTGTTGCACACATCCTATAGGTATGGGTGTGCTTTGTGATTGAAATATACACTTCTGGGAAGTGTATAGTGTGGCTTAAATTCTGTGGCTTTTCAATAGGTCTTTGTTACTTATAGGGAGGACAATTAAACTAGAACATTGTGTGATGACAGCATTATCCCGTAAGCAGGACACAGCTGTCTAATCGTGGATCAGGGAAGTGCGCACACATTCCCAAACACCAAAGCCCTTGGTGCATTGAACCTGAACAGCACCCTACGTGGTGCCTTTATGGGTCTAGGTCAGCAATCAAATTGCATTTAGCTTGAGGCTTTGAGATCACCTGGATCTGCAGAGTGACATTGATGAATTTTTGCTTGTCATGGTTCATATTATCAGTGGGTGGATTCTCAGAAGATTGTACGTTGAACCTCAGTTAAACCTTATTGAGACTTAGCTGGAATCCATCCATATTTATCTATTTCACTCATCCCCATTGCTCTTCTTTTCTTCCTGTTTCACAATCCATCTTGTTGATTTTCTCCCCGTCTCACTTAATGGGGTCCTTTAGGCATTCTTTGCAACATGTTATTTTTATTGGCATTTATCATATTCTGGTCACTTGTTATCTTGTGATTCTTTAAGCAGAGCCATTTATTTCTTTACTTCTTGACTGTTCCACACCAGAGTTGAATTCAGTCACATCAAAGACCTGTAAAGATCTCAAATATTTCTGTTATGAGGATTCTGTTTTCATGTCAAAATTGTATGAAGACCAGCAAGCCAGTGACAATAAACTTATGTCCTGATTGAATAAACATGTATGTTCATATAGATTCATGAACCTCTCCCATAATTCCATGCTCTCATGATACCTTGTCTCACTGGCCCATTGTCCTTGGAGTAAGAGACAGTGCTACTGAGTTTATCTTGCTCATGAACTTAGAATATGTGACTGTGACACATGATTGGTACAAAGACATGAAGAGGTTATGAGGGGATAAACTTACTCTCTGATATGAATGGACCCAGGTAAGCCTGAAGAACCTTGTGAAATTTGGGAACTCCATGGTCTACACAGTGGTGCCCAGAATTTCTAGTCTGCAATAAAAAAAAAATTGTGAAAAAAAATACATTAAGAAATCTAGAAGAAGAAAGAGCCTGCATCCAGTTGGAAGATTGAGAATACAGTAAGGGAACCACTCAAGGTTTTTGCAAATGTAGAATGAAAGGGAAAAGAAAGAAACAAAAGTAATTGAAGTGTGTTGAATGATGATATCAAAGATTGCTTGTGTCTTATGTTGCTGAAGGAAGGTTGCAGGGGTAATAAAGGTAAGAACACATTTGGAGAGAAATGTTTAGGTAACAAACTTCACATTTTCTCACCTAAAAAGGGAAATGTAGGGATAAAATTGTATTCCTTTGCTTGAGCTCAAGCAACAGGAGTCATAAAGGACTTCAGCTGGGAAGATGAATGGTACAGAAGGAATGGAACATTTGGCTTCAGATGTATGCTGGAGATTTCAACTCTGCCATCTATTAGCTTTGTCATAGCTTTTGGCCTTTAAGCTCGTTATTTAACTTCTCTTAAGCTTGGTTTCCTTTTCTGAAAAAGGAAAAAAATCTCTCTATATTATAAGGAGTAGACGGTTTCCATCCAATGTTGGGATCACTAAATCTATTGTGGGAAAAACACCACCCCTAGTTATCAGGTTCATTCAGTTGCACCCAAGCTACAGGTCAGTCAGTCCTTTTATATGCATAGAAAAAGAAACAGGTAGTGGTTATAAAATCCATGCACATTTTAATTCCTAGGCACATCCTGAAAGATAACAAGTTATTAAACTGAACCTAAGTTCAGAGATCTGTGTCTGGAATGGTTCTTGATGTACCAATGAGAGCCAAAAAATAAGAGAGATTTCCTATCAATGGCCTTTCCTGGAAAAAAAAAAAAAAAAGGATGTCTCCTTGAACTTCACAACTGCTGGTTTATTTCCTCTCAGAGCACTCATGTTTGAGTCCCTTTCTTGTCATTAATAACAAGAGGACCTCTGAAAGCCCCTTAACCTTACTTTCTGCATTTGTAAAACAGAATTCTAACATTTGCTCTTTCTACCTCATGGCATTTTTTGGTAAGCATCAGATGAGACTGCTTGTAGAAGTTCTTTTTGAACTAAAATGTACCAAGGAAGTGTAAGGAATTTTTAGCCCTGCTATAGGTTGGTGAACCACGTCTGTCACCATGAAATGAACCTCCTACCACGAGTTCCATTTCCTACCAAGCAGAGAATCCCTACAGGCACCTACTATGCATTTATAAGTAATTTTCTCTTTCTTTTCCTCTCATGCACAGTTTGGAACTGAAGTGGTCTCACATTGAATGGTCGCAGGCTGAATATGAGGTCTGTGAGAATGTGGGCATATTACCCTTAGAAATTACCAGAAGGGGATATTCCATGGACTCCGCCTTCGTGAGTGTAAAGGTAACAAATCTAAAATGTAAACTGTCAGGCTAAAACTTGAGTTGCTGGTTGGTGCCTTACATTATTTTCTTCAAAAGAAACCCAGAGTAACCAAGGAAATTTCAAACTGCAAGATTGCATATTATTTTGGAGATTCTACATCTAACATCTCCTTATCCTTCCACGCTTTAACTAACTTCGTTAGCTCCTCAATAAGGAATTTCTAACTCATTTTTAGTTTGTAAATCTGGTCACTAAGTCTTGAAATTTGATTTTACAGAGAGATGTATCCAACCTAGTGAACCCTGGCCAAACTTTGCTTTGGAAAAGAAACTTTGCATGCAAGACATTCAGTGGGGGTCCCCAGAATAAATTTCAGCCCCCAACTGGCTTTCTCTTAGTATGCACCAGGATTGCTTCCTGGGGTCTCAGTGGATGAGGAAAATCAAAGGACAAACTTAAGAGTCATCCAGTTTGGGGCACCTAGGTGGCTCAGTCAGTTGAGCATCCGACTCTTGGTTTCAGTTTGGGTCATGATCCCAAGGTCGTGGGATCAAGCCTGCATTAAGCTCCATGCTGAGCCTGGAGCCTGCTTGAGATCTCTCTCTCTCTCTCTCTCTCTCTCTCCTTCTGCCCTTCTCTCCAACTTGCATGAGTTCTTCCCTCTCAAAAATAAAGAGAGTCGCCCAAGTTAAAATTAAGAGAATATTTATCAATCCAGGCCACTGAAATATAAAGGATCCTCAGTAATCACTTTTAGATTAGTCAGCTTGCTATTGCTTTCCATAGACATGGACCATGGGGCACAACCTATGGCTTCCAGAATTGAAGGGTTTTTTTTAGGAGTTGCGCAACCATCACAATTCCACATCAAGAGAATAACAGCTTGAAAAGCTTTCACAAACTAACAATGGCAAAGGATCTCTGAAGGCTCTACTCCTCAATCTACTGAAAAGGGCAGTATTAGCTTTTGAAAAAAAAATGGTCATCTCAGTTAAATCTCAATTACAATACTACATTCAAATCACCCTCAGAACCTTTCTCATGTAAATTCTACCACATCCACATTTGGTATTTACCTTGCCAGTGGGCATCGACCCTTTCCCCCCAGATCTGTGGTGCTTTATTGTTATTGAAACAGCAGACAACTTGGTATGTCCTATAATTTTCCAGCAGATTGTTCACGTAGAAAGAAATCTGTCTGAACGGTTTTCTAATAGTGCTTTGGTCTTCTTCAGACAACACCATATGCTCGAGTCTAGAGTTTTGGGCCACATACATTCACCTTGCCAGGTAGGAAGAACATATGTGGTGTGACGTGAGACTTTTTGTCTCCTGAAGCTGAATGCGCACTGTGAACCTTTGAGCTGGGATCACACACAGCCCTTAGCCTCCAGGGACAGCTCTCCCTAGAGCGTGGTTACTGCTTTGTAGCAGAACTTATTGGCTTCTTGACCAGAAGCAGAGAAAGAGAAAGTGCTTTTGCCTGTGCTTGCACTGGTTGGATTCGTGCACCTTCACTGAGATGACTGCTCCAACCACCTTGCCTCAGACCATTCCTTTTCCCACATAGGATTCTGTAAACTCAGTGGTGGTAAATACTAAGTAATTGCACGTGCAAGAGCCATGCGGGGAAATGTAACTTCCAGCATATGGTGGATCCAGGTGTACAATGGGCTGCCTTTTCACAATGAAAGCTTGTTCAGGAGGAACCTTGGCATTGTAGGCAAAGAGCAAATGGAAGCCTGGGAGGAAATACCCTCTTCAGCAAAAATATTTCCACTGCAGACCCATTAGCAGATCTCAGAACCTCTGATTACAAATGGAGGTAATGTCTAAAGCCAGAAAAAAAACAGGAACTTTTAAGTTTTCAACTGTGCACTTCATTTCTTTGTGTGAAAGTGAGGAAATGTAGTAACTGGCTTTCTTGACCGTCTTAAATGTCTAAAAAAGTGCCAAGTAACAGCTGCCTATTGTGCTTATGCGGGCTTCTCATCCGGTAACTTTTCTCAAACTAGCCAAGGACAATTCTTAACACTTATTTAGGCTCCCTCTGGGGAAGATAAGGTGACCTGAGAGCCCTAAATCACTTCTGGTTTTTAGCCCCAGGAGCAGGGAACAGGAGATCAGTAAATAGTCTCTTTAGAGCAATGTTTGTTGTTGTTGTTAACAACTTAACTTCATCGATGGAGCCTCGGAAACCCTCAGTCCTGCATGTGGATTGATTTTGGGTGGCTGTTCACCAGGTCTGTCATCCCCACTGAGCTCTCAGTTACTTCTGTGAAGTGGGATGGTTTCACCCAGACGGGAAAATGGATGAGACTTGTTTTAGTTCAAGTTGTCAAAGTCCCTCAGCGCCCTGGAACTCAACTCGTAGGGCACCTTACAGCTACTTGTCTGGAGCACCTGCTGTTTCTTCCCCTCCCCCTCCCTTTCCTCCCGGGCACTATTTCAAAGCCAAGTAAAAGGAACGTAATGAAATAGATGGATACTCATAACAAAGAGAAAAATATTATTTAAAATTTATGTTGCTTTCCCCAATGACTGAATCATTTATAACAAAGCGGAAAGAAAAAACAGGAAAAAAAAAGCTTTACTTTTACTTCCATTGATATTAGTATAAGAAAAAAGTTAAATGTAACGTATCCCTGTAGCCTAGATCTAAAATGGTTGATTATAATTTTTAAAAAGCCAATGTGTTAAAAACAGATTTAAGAGCATGAATTTAGGGCTCAGACAGTAGAGCATGCAACTCTTGATCTTGGGGTGTGAGTTCAAGCCCCACGTTGGACATAGAGTCTCCTTAAAAGAAAAAAGAGAAAAAAAAAAGAAAAAAGAGCATGAATTTAATCTATTATGATACTAGACTAGATGTTTCTCTATTAAAATAATACTTATTTTTATTTAAAAAGAATTTTTTTTTCTTCTTAAGGTCAAGCAAGTGTCAGCTACACTTGGAAAAGACTTCACTCTGAGTCCATCTAAACTGATTCAGTTTGACCCAGGTATATTTTGTGTCTAGAGTTTGTTTCTTTTTTTTTGTAAGAATATGTGGAGATCGTGGGGACTTGATTCAGCCACTCCAAGAGAGATCAGTTTGGACTTGAGCTTTTGCCCCTCATATTTACTTTATCACAAGTGAATATTCATTTAAAAGGAGAAGAAACTGAAAATAAAATATCCAAGCAAACACCCAAAAATCCAGAACATCATTTAAAAAATTATTTAGAGTCCTAGCACAAAGCTGAAATGATTTGATGGAAATGGTCAGGATGTCATATTGACATGAGGCCATTTCTAAATGATTTCTCTTGGAATCGGTTGATTTGAGGAGATTCCGGGGAAGATTCATTAGATAGCACATATTTTGTTCTAAATCTGTGGAAACCTTTTTGTCAGGTGCAGTAGGGGATATGAAAATATGGTGCTGACTCTTAAAGGTATTCTATTGTGTGGGATATAGAGACACGAAAGCAGCTCACTAATAGTACATTGGAACCCAAAGGAGGAGCCATTGCTCCAGCTAAGGGGAATCCTGGAGGACTTTCCAGAGGAGGTGGTATTCTGAGCAAGTAGAAGGAGAAGGGGACTTCAGGTGAGCTATGCCTAAAGCACTAAGGCTGGAGCTACACCTTCCTTCCCTGGCTTCTGTAGAAGGGGCAGGTAATTCTCCTTCACTGTACTGCATGGTTCTCTCTCTTTCCTTCTGGTCTGGGGTGGGCATGCATCACCTGTCTGGGGGCAAATGGAAAAGGTCTTGAGAAGTAGCCAGGGCTTGTGGCTTTGTACTCTCCTGCAGAGGAGGTGTTCTGCCACCTGAGAACATCCTGGCAAGTCAAAACTCTTGCCATTATCTGCCACTGACACATACTGCTTCAAGCAAAGGCAGAACGATACGGCCTAAATACCATCACCGCTCCCAAACTGACAACCTTAATAGTAAACATAGACAAGAACTGCCTTTCTGCAGCTCACCACAAGTAGCATCAGGGTTTGTGACTCGTTTGCTCAGGCTGCCCTCACCAAGTATCACAAACATGGTGGCTTAAAAACAGAAATTTATTTTCTCACAGTTCTGGAGGCTATCAGTTCAAGATCAAGGTGTCAGTGGGGTTGATTCCTTCTGGAGGCTATGAGAGAGACTCTGCCCCGTGCTCTGGTGATTTGCTGGTCATTGGCATTCCTTGGCTTCTGTGGAATTCACACCAATCTCTGCCCTTGTCCCCACATGGCATTCTTGTGTATGTGTCCAAATTTCCCCTCTTTATAGGGGAGCCAATCATAATGGATTAGAGGCCTACTCTGGTGTGAATTTACCTTGACAATTATATCTGTAATGAGATTTTTTCCAAATAAGGTCACATTCTGCAGTACTAGGAATTAGGATTTCAACATATGGATTTTGAGTGACCCAATTCAACCTATAACAATAAGCCTTAAATTTGACATGAAACAACCCAAATATTGTGATTGGCCTCCTTCCCGTGATATTTAAGTTTCTGACTCGTGTAAGCTTGTTCCTCAAGTGGCCCACTTTATAGAAGAGCTGTTTCCATCATGTACCTGATGTTTACCCACAGGCTCTTATTTTCTAGTCAACCCCAAGATGAAAGGATTTGGGGCATTTGCACTATGTATGCCCCTTTTGTGCTTCATGTGAAGGCAGTTCCAACCTTTCCACTTTTTAAATTTTTATTTATTTTGAGAGAGAGAGAAAAATGCGAGCAGGGGAGTGGCGGAGCAGGAGGCAGAGAGTCCCAGGCAGGCTGGGCTCTCAAGCCTGATGTGGGACTCGATCCCACAGCCCTGGGATCATGACCTGAACCAAAAGTAAGAATTAGATGCTTAACCCAATGAGCCACTCAGGCGCCCCTACAACTTTTCCACTTTTTGAGAGCCAAGAGTCATCCTAGGTCATCTTCATTATGTGAGGTCTGTCACAAGATCTAGAGTGATTCTGGCTTTTAGTAGATTTTGAGCAGGCTGCCAGGTGCTCTGTTTGGATAGATAGGAACTAGAAAGTATCACACTTAGGGAACTTCTCGGAGGTTCTACTGGATAAGATAAATACTGATTTGTCTAGAAGAGCTTACATACTTTTTTGAGTAGATCCTAATGACTTCTGGAGCATCTAACTGGTCATGACAGTAGGGATTATTTGGATGTTTTAAGAAAAATAAATCTTGTAAGTTAAAAAGAAACAATCGTCTCCTGTTCATTGTTTTGTTTATTAACCAGAAATGGTTTAAAAAATTGAAGGCTTACTTTAAAAAATGTTGATGTTTTCTATGTTCACAGGTCCTGCAAATGTTTATTTACTCCCATATTGTTAATCCTTGCCTCTTCTGGGTCTGGTGTTCTCATCCCCCATGCCCTACCCCCGTGCCCAAAGCATTCTGTTTGTTTGCTTAAAAACAGTAACCTCTATGAAGGGTGAAGAAACAGTGAGAAATCAAAGTTGGTGGGTTATTGTAAGGTTTGAGAATTATTAGGGGGTGCTGGAGAGAAATGGGGTCACTTTTGAGGCTAGTGAGCTACGCCTTGCTGCTGTTGTACTGAACCCAAAACTAATCATGCTGACGTAGCATTCAGCTATCGTGGCCGATCTTGAGTAGAAGTGTAAACATTCTTAAGAAAATGATTGTTTTCCTCTCAAATATGTGTTCTTGAAAGGTTTGCCGCTTTCCTAGTTGAATGACTAAGTCATTCCTAAGAGGCAAAATGTTTTCCCAAGAACAGATCTCCAACATGGCACTCACTAAAAAACATTGAGAAAATGTCTTTCCATAGTAAAATCCGCTTTGCAGGAAAAGATCCAGTAATTGACCTTCTCTATAAAGTGCCATGTGTCTGCATAAAATGACACGTTTTCTTCAGCGCCTTTTTTTATGGGAACAAGAGGCCAGTTCAAGCCTTCTGAAATTACTTATAATCTCAGTGATTTAACAACTACTTTGCACCTTGAAAATGGGGGAGGAAGGAAAAAGAAAAACCCAGAAAGTTCTTGCTTCCAATCTCATTAACCTAGAGAAGTTGGTTCTATGTGCACACCTGGTAGTCGTGGAGACAACACTGAAATGCAAGCAAACCAATCAGAAAGTATTTAATGAAATTTGGAATCGATTTTCTCTAACCATCTGATTCTACTCTATAAGGTCTTAGAAAAACTTTAAGGATTTTTGTGTGGGGGAGGAAGGTGGGAGGGAGAAGGGGTTCTATAATTTTTTTTAAAAAATGAGTCTTAAAATAAGAGGCAATCAGTTGGGACTTGGATTTTTGTTACTGTTGTTATTGGATTTTAATTGACTAATGCTGGACTCTTTGGGCTTTGAGAGTCAAACAGTTCTTTGAATATTGAAATTCTTAGTATTCATATACTTTCTTCACTGTTTGGTCTCTTAGCCCTTCATGCCAGGTTTATTACAATAGTGGCTTATGTGGTCTCGCCACTTCTAGCCTCTTTGCCCATCTTCCTGGGCTCCTAAATCTTCCTGCATAACACTCAGATTCATTTCTCTAAGACATTCATTTTCAAGAGCCTCCCCTGTTGCCTCTGGTTGAAAATCTGAATCGAGCCACCTCATGTCCAAGGCGCTCTGCTTTCTGGCTACATACCTCCATTGCTGCCTTCCTACTGCCTAGTCCCTGGTGAGACCTCTCTTCCAGCCAGCTAATTGACTCAGCCTTCCCTGTTCAAGGCCTTTGCTCTGCTACCTTCCTGCCTTTGCTTATGCTGTTTTCCCACTTCTTCCCTCCCAAACCTACCCACTCTGGAGCCCACATACATATAGTATTTATCATCCATCCTATAATATTCACCATCCATTACCTGCCATCTGTTGGCAGTTAATCATACAAAGGCTTGAATAATGGACTTTTCTGGTATTTACATCCTGTCTCTTTAAAGAGGTTTTAAATTTCTATATGTCAGGGGTTGCCAATGTTATACCTCTGGTATTCTCCATAGCATCTAAAGCAAAGGTAAGTAGACAATAGATACAAAATGTACATTGTGATGGGTTGATTTAATCCATCCATGAGGTGGGAATTACATGGTATTTTATGTTAGGTGTTTCGACTTCTGTTTTTGCAAAGATGGTGAAAGTAACTGATTTATGAATTCAGTTGTTAAGGAAAACTTAACCAATCAGCTGTCAGCTTGGGTTTTATTTTTAATAAAATTATTTCAAATACACTTAATTCTTTCCCCCCTCTAAGGGCAGCCAAGAGTAGGATGCATGAACAGTTTCATCATTCCATTAGATTCTGCTGGGGGATTGAGGAAACTTTGATTAGATCATCAAATCTGTGCGTGGTACAACCTTCAGACAGGAGGCTGTTATATAGATGAACCAACCGAGAGGCATAAATCTGTAGCAAACAACCTACGGGAAGAAACGAATCCAGGTTTTCAGAGGAGAAGACTAGAGGGGAAAAAAAAGTTTGACTGCTTGTATACATGTGTTTATGGGAATAAGAGTCCTCACATAGCCAATGAATAACTGCCAGAGAATCAAGTTTTCAAAACTTAGTTCTGGAAGGTTAAGCAATAAATTTGTTGTCTTTTTTTTTTTTTTTCACCTTAAACTTGAGACTTCTTTCTCTACTGAACAGTACTTTTTTTTTATTCCTCCCACATTTTTTCTTCTAAAACCAAAGGGGAGGCCCTGTAATCCACGTCACAGAAACGGGTCAGGATTAGACAATCCCACAAGATTCTTCCGGCTTTCATAATTTCATGTTTCTGGGGTTTCTTTGCATTTCATTTTAGTGGTGACAGAATGGCTGGGGATATGTTTGGAACTTCCAAATTGTTTGGGATTAAGTTCACAAAGTTATTGTGAGCAGAGTTCGACTGAGCAGAGACAGACAGAAAGAAAGAGAGAGAGAGGGAAAAAACAACAACATTGACTTGGTCTGTTTCTAAAACCCCCAGCCCATAAATTCCCTCCAGGCGGATATCAAATACTAAGTATTACATCATTAGAAAAAGCATTTGTGAGCTAGAAGGATCTCAGGAAGTGGCGCAGCCGATAGAGGCAGCTGTCTTTAGAAATCAATCATTTCAAGGGTTCCACAAATAGCGTGAAGTACCATCCAATAATCACTTTTAACTGTAGCGACCTCTTAAGATTTTTGAAACTATTAAGGTTTAAAGATTGCGGTACTTATTTATTCCTAAGAAGAGAAGGGGTAGGTCGGGGGACGAAATTAAGTCTTGGATCTCATCGACTAACCGCTTTTGGTTGTTGTTGTTGTGGTTTTGTTCATCCCTTGCCTAATGCAGCTCACTTTTTTGTTACAGTGTTTGCACTGAAACGGAATCATCATTGTCCAGGAGCAAATGTGGTCTTTTAATATTATTTGGGAGAACAGCAGGACCTCAGCGAGTTGGGAGCAGCACAATAGCTCACTCAGCCTCGCTGTAGACATGTTAATTAATATATTTCTCTGACACCTAGGTGATTGAAATAGCAATTAAAGAGTAATTAAAATGTTTACTTCTTGTAGGAATGTCAACTAAGATGTGGAATATAGCAATTACCTATGACGGATTAGAGGAAGATGATGAGGTCTTTGAAGTAATTCTGAACTCCCCTGTGAATGCAGTTCTTGGCATAAAGACAAAAGCGGCAGTGAAAATTTTGGACTCAAAAGGAGGTATTCTTTTGATCCTCATCTCGAAATCAGGAGCGGTCCTGGCGCTCTGGTTGCTTGCTTTCAACAGCCAATGTGCCTGATAACGCCTTCAAATCAAAATGCTTAATTTCTTGTCAAGAAAGCAACCTCAGTCATGTCGCAGTCCCTTTATTCTTGTTTCTGCTTCATGTGGTTTTCCTCCCGCTAAGAACCATCGTTTGAGAAAAAGCAACAAGTCAGTGCCGTGGTGCTTTTTTTCCCGCTACCCGTTTGTTGTTCTCACCGAGGGGGAAACAATGTTGGTGAGAATCTATCGACAATTATTTTCCCCCAGAGTTTGTAGGGCTGTAATTATCTTCCTCTGTGAAAGAGAGCTCTTAATGCCTAAAATCGGAGCCCCTACGGTAGAGTGACCAGGAAAATTCTAAGAGAGGAAGGAATGGGAGAAAAATAGATGTGAAAGCTGCAGCTGGCTAGGGGAGCCCGGAGCAGCTGGAGAATATTAATGAATAACCTTGGGCTGCAGAGCCAAATAGGTCCTGGATAGGATCTGCAAAAGAACGACCTGTGAACTAAATAAAATAAAGACCAAGCACAGTCCTTGCTGCTCTGATCCCCCCCCCCCCCCCCCCCCCCCCCACCAAACACTTTCTTCTGATGTGTCTGTTTAGCATTTGACAAGTGTCCAGTTACCATGTGCAGACTTAGGCCCCTGAGTTTACACCTGTCATGTCCCATGGTATGTTTTCTTTACCTGAAATCCGCTCTCGCCTCTTCTTTCTCATCCTATAATAAAAAAAATAGACACTATCCTCTTTTCTTAATAATACTCATGTCTCCAGAACCTCTTTCGCCACCACCGTGACGGGCAAATTGTTTTTCAACAGAATTTTCTGGTTACAGGAAGCACCTAAAATACATGAACTACACACTTTGCATGTGAAGTGTAAAACATCCACCTGAGGTTCTGGGTTTAGATTTTTGTTCTTATTGGGAATGTTTCCCACAGAAGTAGCTCCGATAAGATTTACCGAATCTTTGTTCTGTGACAGTCGAATGCTAATTTTTGGAGCTGTTACCTGACTTCACTTCTTCCAACAGTTCTGGTTTCTACCTCTAGGAGACTGGGGAAAGGACGAGCACTTGGAAGTGTCTGGGGTGTCATATGTGGTCAGCGAAATATACCCGATACGTTGAGGAACGCTAGAACACAAAGTGAGGCCGCTTCTCAAGTACGTGGCATGATTATAAAGTTAGGACAACGGTTTTCATCTGCGGTTTGTGAAATCATTGTCCTGACTTTATAATCACCCTGAAGGTGTGCAGAAGGGCACAGCTCTCGTGCATGGAAGCTGATGAAGAGTAGAGGAGCTTCTGGCAAATGGCAAAAAGGCAACATCTGTTGGGAAAAGCATCCATCTTGGCTCAATGACAAGCTGCTCCAGGGGCTGTGTCAACGTGATCACTTCTCTGTTTGTGTACAATGACCTGACCTGCCGTCTTTCATGCCTCCAGGACAGTGCCGTCCTTCACGTTCCTTCACCCCCAACAAGCACGATGCGTGGGAGAAGGGCGCTTGGCACCCGCTTTCCCCAGGGTCTTCCTCACCCACCACTTCCGGTTCCTTTCATCTGGAAAGAAGACCTCTTCCATCTTCCAGGCGGCCAGTGGTCACCAGGGGAGACAGCCTCCAGGGCTTTGATTCCACAGATCTCTCTCGTATGAAGCTCAGGACCCGAGGGAATGGCAAAACAGTAAGGCGGGGGGCGCGGGCTTCTGTGACCTGTGGAGTACACGGTGAAAGAATAAAAAATATTAATGAGTGTTCCGAAACACTGCAGCAGGTGTTTGCTTCTCATAATGAATGGGAGCCCTGGTTCCGTGCACAATCACGCAGTGCCTTTTGTATACAGAGATGGTAATGGCGCCCCTCTTCATTAATTGTACTACTCCAGGTGATGGATATGCTGACTCATCTGTATGATTTCTGCTTTGGTTCCTTTTGTGATCAAAAGAGATAGGGAATGACTAGTGACCCTGGAACAGAATGAGATTAAGTGATCTACTTAGGTGTAGAAACCGTGATGTTGACCTTATTAGCACAGAATTCTAATCAGGCACACAGGCATGAGTGTGTGTGTGTGTGTGTGTGTGTGTGTGTTTCTAGGACCTCTGTGTACTATAGATATACCACCAAAGTAAGGATGTCTTTTCTCCATGACTGAAACTATGAATGTCTGAATCAATGCTGATGAGTTGTGAATAGGTCCAGGGATTTTAAACACTCTAATGATTTGGGCATGGAAAGTTTTTTTATTTTTAATGTTTATTTATTTTTGAGAGAGAGAGAATGTGGGGGGAGAGACAGAGAGAGAGGAAGACAGAGGATCCAAAGCAGGCTCTGCACTGACAACAGAGAGCCCGATGTGAGGCTCAAACTCAAACCACAAGATCATGACCTGACCCGAAGTCAGTGCTTAACCAGCTGAGCCACTTAGACTCCCCTGGGCATAGAAAGTCTTAAGAAACATATGTTTTAAAATTTTTTAGACACTGCAAGGTCTTACTGGAAGCGTTTTACCCTGATGCTACTTCTTTTTCAAGCCAATTTTGTTCATATTTTGTACTTTGTTGATTTCAGGTTCTTCCATCCTCTGTTTATAGAAATGGAACAGACATCATCTATCATGTAAGCATAGTCTGAGAGAATTACTAAATTTCTTGTATTTATGGATGCAAAACATTTAATGAAACTATTTTTTTTCTGTATTTATGTATTTCTCTTAACAGCCTGTTTTGAAATTTGTCTCAGAGGCTTGAATGGCCAGGAAAAAAATTATCTTTTTTGCATTAATCCCATTTTTGAATTGCTCGTTTTCCCAGCAAATGTTTTTGTTTGCTACCTGGGTATTTGTATGTCCTTTAATGTTGTTTTCTGATTTCCTCAAGTATCATGGAATGGTTTCCCTGAAGCTGGAAGATGACAGTTCCCCATCTCACAAAAGGAAGGCCAAAGTCTCCAATATTAGTCAGCCACAGAAGACAAGCCAAGGGGCAGAATTGCCCCAGGCAGATAAGATGGAATCCACAACTGGCTCACACTTACCCAGACAGGTAGGAAAATCTTTTTACTTCCTATTCACCTGAGAGCAAGCTGTTGGCTGGGCTGTAAAACAGCCTTCAAGCTTGGGGATCGATTGTTCAACATGCATGCTACCTAGCAAATGAACACCTAAAGAAGGTGGGGGTGTGCTTAGCTTACATGAAGTCAAATCAACATGACCTCTCCTTCCTACAGGCCCACCTGCCTTCATTTCCAAAGAACTGCACACTGCAATTAAAGGGACTCTTCCACTTCCAAGAAAGCCTCCGCCAGCTGTACAAGTGTGATGGGATTACCTGGAGAGCCTGGAGCCCCCAAAGTGAGGTGGGACACAGGATGAACAGCAAAGTACCTTTGCTGGCCGCATGTTCTGTAATAAGCTAATAGATAGCAAATGATCTGATGCTACATCCACCTGCCCTTGTTACACTTGGAAGATGAAGAGGGAAACATGGCCCAGGTGGTGTTTTACAAATCACAATACACATTCGTTAATCGATTCCACTGAAGAAGGTGTTTACTCATTTTGTTTAATCATCACAGTATCAAGAGTGTCAAACTAAAGTGTGGACTTTAGTACTGTTTTCTGTAAAAAGCCATCACATTTCTCAAGGTGGAGAATTGGGAGAAGGGCTGACCTCCTTTCTGGTGACAAAACGACTCTGCTCAAGTTAGGGGACTCCTAGGACTCTTTATTCTGAGAGCAGACTGTAGATTTTAAAGACCGTTATGATGTGAACATGGACAACTGTATTTCAGGAGGTGGAAGGTAAATCCTGCCCAGCTGGGTGGCACCGTCACTCAGACTACTGCCACTCCGTGATCACAGAGCAGAGAGGCACCTGGGACATGGCGGCCCGAGCTTGCAAAGAACAGTAAGAAACCCTACTTCACATTAATCGATGTTTTTTTTTTTTTTTGTACTGTTTCTCTTTTATCTCATGCAGCTTCAGGGTTGCTTCATTCATTCAAGTGTTGAACTTGGTTTTGTTTTAGGAACTCCAGGAGAGTTCTATAGTTCAGGATGGATTTGGGATTGACCTTGATAATGTATTTTGAATTATTGCTTTTATGTGAAAAATGTGCCATTGCCGAAATTCTATTGTTTTAGCTTTTCTTGATCTTTTGGAGAAAGCCAGAAGGACCATTTCTGAGTTAGCAGCATTGTACATTCTATCATTTTTTAAAATTAAGTAAAGATTCCTGCCCACTAATTTGATAATACATGGCAATGAAAGGTCTTACAGTATCAGATCTAGGACAACGTAAGAGACATTGATGATTATGAAAGCAGACAAGTTGGACAAAGGGTCAAAGGGTCAGTGGGTAACGGAATACTTAGTGAGAGGGGACTTGTGGTCAAATAATGACAACAAAATTTATCTATTCCAGAAAGACTTTAAAAATGCATATGGGCCAATCCTTGACCCACTTTTCATCTACCCAGATATTATCCAGACCAAGGCAATTAGACTAATATGGCCCAACCACTGGAAACTGAAACTAGAGAAGTCCCTGGTGAATAACAGTCCGATCTTGCACTTCATCAAATTCAGAAAGTTATGCTCCTCCAAAAACACTATTACGAGGGGCGCCTGGGTGGCTCAGTCAGTTAAGTGTCCCACATTGACTTAGGTCATGATCTCATAGTCTGTGAGTTGGAGCCCTGTGTCAGGTTCTGTGCTGACAGCTCAGAGCCTGGAGCCTGCTTTGGATTCTGTCTCTCTCTCTGTCCCACCCCCACTCATACACTGTCTTTGTCTCTTTTAAAAATAAACAAACATTAAAAAAATAAAAAGAAAGAAAGAAAAACACTATTAAGAAATGAAAGAGCTAACCACATTTGGACAAATCATATATCTGTCTCAAATCCAGAAAATACAGACAATTCCTATAAATCAGTAACAAAAAGACAACCTGATTAAAAACATAACAAATGACTTGGAGACTTCACAAAAAAAGATATACAATAAGTCAATAAGTACATGAAAAGATGTACCACCATTAGACATTGGCAAAATGCAGATGAAAACCACAATGAAATACCACTTCACACCGACTATAAAATCACCACGACTGACATTACCAAATGCTGCAGAGCAAATGGAATTCTCATGTATATTGGCAGAAGGGTAAAATGGTACAACCGCTTTGTAGAACCATCTGGCAGTTTCTTACATTTACATGCATTTACCCTGTGACCTAACAGCTCTACTCCTAGGTATTTACCAGAGAGAACTACAAGTATATGCTTTAAAAAAAAAAAAAGGCATTCACAAGAATTTCATGGTGACTTTTTCCATAATAATAACAGTTTGGGTCTGGGACACCTGGGTGGCTCAGTCAGTTGAGCATCCAATTGTTTTTTTTTTTAATTTTTTATAGTTTATTTATATTTTGAGACAGAGAGAGACAGAGCCTGAGTCGGGGAGGAGCAGAGAGAGAGGAAGACACAGAATCTGAAGCAGGCTCCAGACTCTTAGCTGTCCGCACAGAACCTGATGCGGGACTCGAACCCATAAACTGCGAGATCATGACCTGAGCCAAAGTCTGACACTTAACTGACTGAGCCACCCAGGCGCCCCAAGCATCCAATTCTTGATCTCAGCTCCAGTCTTGATTTCAGGGTCATGGGTTCAGGCCCCTCACTGGGCTCTGTGCTGGGAATGAAGTCCACTTGAAAAAGTTAAATTAGTTGATTTATAGGGGTTCTTTATATTTTCTCCAACAACGAAGAAATTGATAAATTTTCTTTTTTGATAATTTATTTTATAAATGGCGAAATGAACTACTAAAACCTCCAACAATGTGGATAAATCTCAAAAACACGTAGAGAGAAGCAACCCAACATAAAATCATACTATATGACTTTACTTATATGTATAGGAAAAACTAATTTATTAGTTGATGTTAAAAATAAAAAACTGGTTATCTCTGGGAGATATTGTGGGGTGACTAAAAAATAGTCTGAGGTAATATTCTAGAGTGATGGAAATGTTCTATATCTTGCTCTGGTTGGTTGTTACATGAATATATACAACTGTCAAAGTTCATTGAATTCAATACTTAAAAATTTATGCATTTTAACGTATAGGAGGATTAGGAGGAACTTAACTGAGGACCATGGGGGAGAAGAAGGGGGGAAATGGTGGGGGAAAGGGAGAGAGGCAAACCATGAGAGACTCTTGAATGCTGAGAACAAACTGGGGGGGGGGGGGGGAGGGGGGGAGATGGGCATGGAGGAGGGCACTTGTGGGGATGAGCACTGGGTGTTATATGGAAACCAATTTGACAATAAACTATTTGTAAAATAAAAATAAATAAATAAATAAATAAATAACTGGGAAAAATTATGCATTTTATTATATGTAAGTTATAATTAGATTTTAAAGAGCTAATAAAATATTTTAAAAGTCTTTATTTTTTTAATCTTTCATTCTTTTTAAAAATTTTTAAAAATTTTTATTTATTTTTGAGAGAGAGAGAGAGAGAGCACAAATGAGGCAGGGCAGAGAGAGAAGGAGACACAGAATCTGAAGCAGGTTCCAGGCTCTGAGCTGTCAGCACAAAGCCAGAGTTGGAGTTTGAACCCACAAACCACGAGATCATGACCTGAGCTGAAGTTGGACACTCAACCGACAGAGCTACCTAGGTGCCCCTAAGAGTCTATTTAAAAACTAGTCAAATCGGGGCACTTGGGTGGCTCAGTTGGTTAAGCATCCAACTTCAGCTCAGGTCATGATCTCATGGTTCATGAGTTCAAGACCTACACTGGGCTCTGTGCTGAAAGCTCAGAAACTGGAGCCTGTTTCAGATTCTGTGTCTCCCTCTTTCTCTGCCCCTCCCCTGCTTGCACTCTATCTCTTTCTCTCAAAAATAAATAAACAAACAAACAAACTGGTTAAATCAGCCAGCATTTCTTCATGTACTAATGTATTTCATGACTTAGTATGGGTATATGTATGGATACTATAGTATGGGTACTATAAAGGTTAAACAGTGGCTTTCAGCCTTCTGTTCGTGAGTGGGTGGTATAAAATAAATTAAGCTATCTTTTAATTGTATAAATAATTATTGTTTAAATGCATATATTCCCATTATGTTATATATTAAGGAAGAATTACAACATCCTTCCATCCAAATAACTGGTGTCCTACTTTAAGAGTCTCATGCTCTACCGACTGAGCTAGCCGGGCAGTTAACTGGTGTCCTACTTTAAAAAAAAGTTAATGTGTATTTATTTTTGAGAGAGAGAGACTGACAGAGGTGGGCAAGAGCGGGGCAGAGAGGGAGGGAAACACAGAAGCTGAAGCAGGCTCCAGGCTCTGAGCTGTCAGCACAGAGTCCGATGTGGAGCTCAAACTCACGAACCATGAGATCATGACCTGAGCCAAAGTCGGAAAGCTTAATTGACTGAGCCACCCAGGTACCCCACTGGTGTCCTACTTGTATTTAAAGTTTGTTTTAATGCACTGAAAGCGCAGGTAGGAAGAGTGGTACACGTCTTTTGTCCCCCTTTGAGGAAGGAGCTTTGGTGTGGGGTCAGAACCTCTCTGAATTAGCCAGGAGAAGATCACAACATGCTACAAGGGAAAGGATATGGTTTCTTTACTGACAAAAATGAGAGCAAGTACAGAACGACAGTTATACTGCAGCCAGGGTTATCAAGAGCAACCTGCTGCTGGGGTTTGTTGGTAAAATATAAATGAACAGGAGCAGAGCCCCCAAACCTCAAGTTTGAAAGTAGCCTTATTGTTCACTTTCCACTGTTACTCAAATAGCAGTGCAAGTTACTCCACTGGCCTATAAGGAAACTTTAACTGGTCCTTCATATTATGAGAAAAATAAGGACATGTATTGGATGATATCTTTCCATCCATCCACCAATGTTGGGTCACCAAGTGTCTTTACTTAGAAAGACTGTTTTTTACTCTGATATTATGATCTTCTAGCTCTTTGGTATGAAAACTCATTTCTTTTGAAAGAATGGCAATTTACAGTAACATTGATATCTTCATAGTGACCTACCTACATGAGTCCCCAAATACATTTTTTAATTTTATTGATCCTTCTAATTGCAGCTAGGTTTTAATGGTGAGTACACAGAGTAGGAAGGCTAGTTATACATCTATTAATCTAGTTATACATCTATTGATTTTATACATCCACTCATCCCAATAATAAACTTAAGGCCCCAATTAATTTAAAAGCCTAGCTACTTCCTCATGCAGTTGACCTAAGATTTCTTCTGCAACTTGGGTGGAAGCAGATGACCCTTTTACCCTGACCCTTTTACGGCAGTCTGACCTAGTTTACATGCCACCTTGCCAGTAATACCTTCCTTTGATATTACACCTTATTGTTTGCAGAATCCTTTCACAGATAGTAATTGATTTGATCCCACCATCACTTCTGTGATATTACTCTACACTCTACAGATAAAACAGAAGAGATTTGGGGAAGCAAAATCACTTGCTTGTGGTCATACAGGCAAGTACGTGGAAGCAACAAAACTCTCATTTTCTATGACACTCTCTAAAATAGTTCCATAAGGATAGGGGCTGTCTCATTTCAGGTGAATTGACAAGCACAGCTATGTTGATTCGGTGTTGAACTAACCTAAAGCAGGTTTCCAAACGATGCATTAATATTTTGTATCTTTCACAGCAAAGACATATTATGATTTTTATTAAATTATGGATCCTAAGTTTCCTTTGGACTGGAATCTAAGTAACCTTTCAGAGCAAACTTAAGGTACAATCAGGTTCTCAGTTTACTTAATTCATTCAACAAATATGTGTTTGGGTACTTACCATACTAGAAATGTCTAGACCAGACTACATTAAAAACTTTTTTTTAATGTTTATTTACTTTT